CATTTACAGGGAATCCTGGATATGTATGTATCAAAAACTTGCAGTGCTTGCTAAACTTACTAAAACAAGCATGAAACAGTTAAACATAAAAGAAAGACCAATTTTCAGACTCCTGGTTCTGGTTCCCAGCTAGAGCTGAGTCTAAGCCCAAGAGGTTTTGTACTGAGAGAGATGTTTTCTTCCCTGTTACTCTATGCACAGCAGTAAGAACTAGTGAAGCAGACTACAGACACACTGCAAGACGAATGCTCATCTTTTCAGCGTATTTCACAACAACCTATGACTCAAAGTGGAGCAGAGAGTCTCAGAATTCCTGAGACTTCTTTCTGGCCCAGTGGCAGCATTTAAAGATTATGGCATAGCTAATCACTGAGACTTGGCATATCTAGTTCGAAGTGCACCACAGGACTATGCATTCAGTTTGCTTCAGTCATTTAATGTAAAATCATTTAAGTAGAAAGGCTGAGATCAGAAAGAACCATTTCTATAGTGGGAAAAAAACCCCAAAAAACATGAGTGACTTCACCTATTGAGCATGTGAACTTTGAGGACGGTATCCCACCACTTTCGATATGATGCTTACATCATTACCTAGGCCTGTGTAAATGTAAAGGTTTGTAATGCTCTGGTTTTCCAAACTGTAAGTAACCGTAAGTAGATATGCTACAGAATTGCACCAAGCAAAATCAAACTGCCATAAAGTTCATGTGTGGCACTAATTGCCATTTAACTGCACGGTTATTACAAGAGCTTTTAATTAACCCAGTCATCATACTGTGGCATACAAATTGTGCATAATAACAGCATGCTGGGTATAATGACAATAGGTTTGTCTGAACTGTGAAAATCAGAAGGTTTATTATTTTCTGAAGTTTCTTTTTATGCCCTTAAATATTTTGCAGTATTTAAGAGCATTTAAGCAAAATAAATTAAAAAAAAAAAAAAAACAAGCGAAAAACTCCTAGTAAGTTGCTGAGGCTTGTCTGTTTTAAAATTTTATAGCAGTCTTTAATTCTTCCTGAAATTCAGTGAGATGTGTAACTCTCCTGAATAATATTTTTGGTGATTTTTCAGTCTCACTTTTCTCAGGGTATTTTCAGTCCTCTTTGAGAATCATTTTATATGCTCTTTTAGAATTTTGTGTTTGAAGCCAAGAAGAATGCTCAGTTTGTGAAAACATTCAGTGGGAATACCCTTTCAGTGAAACTGGAAGATAGTAAGAATACATTCTGATCAGATACTGCTGCAAAATGGTCACTCATCAGATCGTAAGTGTAGTGAGAGCAACTTCTCTCAAAGTTATGGTTCCAGTCTGTGTCTCTCAAGAGTGGTGGTAATAGCACTGAATGAATTTTTACTTGGAAGGTTAATTTTTCAGCCCAAACACTAAAAATTAAGAAACGATGTAGCTAATGGATATAATTGTAGTCCTTCAGAAAACACAGGAAATACAACTAAGTGTCATTACACTTACACCGTGTACTCATTCCTGGAGATCTAAAGAATACATAAAAAAATAAAAGCAGACGTTATTATGGAACACGTATTTATCTATTTTTAGACTATCATCAGCCCTGTACTGGGAAATGAGATATTGACATTTTGGTTTTACATTATTCGGCTCACAGACAGAACAGGCACCTGAAGGCAAGATAAGAGTATATGACCTTTTCATGTGCACAAGTTTACTGAAGAAACTGGGTGACAGTGAAGACTGGGCCAGTGAGGGAGGCAAATGTACATTTGGCATGCATATACGGTTAGTGGTTTAAACATGACATAAAGGTGACAGCCACTGGTGAGCTGTTGAAAAAAGGCAGATTGGGTTCAGCTGGGCGAGTGATAGAAGTGTGACGTACCAAGCAAAAAAAGAAGAACCAACACTACACAAACCCTGTCAGTCAGTCATTGGTCACAGGGGTTTAAATATCAGATATACAAGAAAGGTAACAGAGGTGATGACATCATAATTGCACATGCTGGAGTAGCTCATACGGCAGAAACTATCTGAAGAAGTAAGTAACTTTGCTAAAGATTGGTGAGCTAACTTTCAGCTGTGAGAGCTGTTGCTGTCATTAACAGAACTGAGTTCTCAGTAATTTGATTATTGTCATGCACTTCTTTGTGGGAATGGCAGAGCTGTACAAACACTTTTTATCATTTAACTGATGCTGGTTTTAGGATTTTCAAAAAATGGCTTTTGGGAAAAAAATCAGTTCTTAAAAAGACATTTCAGATAATGACTGGATTTTTATGGTATTTTTAAATATATAAAAAATTTACCCAAAATTAACTTTTTAAGGAAGATTTTATATTTGAAACTAAGGCTTATTTTTAATTGTATCAGTGAATGCAAATTTCCTGGTATTGCACAATGCATTTTTGAGACATTCACTCAAAGAGAATAAACAGAGAGAAAGGTCATTAGACAGCAACTGTATAATACATATAAACCAAATATCATACATATTCCAAACCACTATGACTGTAAAAAATATTGATTTTGTTTTTTCATTTTAGTCAGAGTAAAATATAATGAGATTTTACTGTAAATTCAAGAAGTACAGGTAACTGTGGATTCTCCTAACTTTCTAGTGCAGCTGAATACGTATATTTTGTTCAGTTTACTATAACTGGAGCTTATTTATTTTTTTCTTTCTTTTTTTTCCCTGACCCAAAAGACCGGTACTTATCTGCTTAGAGTCTGTGTTAGCCAGTGAATTTTCTCCACGATGCTTCTCCTCCCTTCACAGGCTCCCAGCCTGCAATCAGTCTCTGAGAGTGCCTGGACAGCTAAGGTGCCTCTTTCAGATATGCAAAGCATCTAAGACCTACAACCACCTACACACCGAACCCATTCTTGTTGTGAGACAAAGCCTCCTTCACAAACATCTGGATCTGACTCTCGCTGTGTGTTAAATCCTTATTTTTATTCTTGATAAGACAAAGAGTTGTTGAAGAGTGTATGGCAAGCTGGAACTAATGCAACACAATCCATCAGTTGCTTTGTCAGAAAAGTTGATCATAAGCATAATGCTCACATCAGTGATCATAAGAGAATATAAACAACGTGAGACAAGTGAAAGGACAAAAGTATTTTTCATCTCTGTTAGATCCGCCTTATGTCTACATAGATTGGCTGATGGGATACACTGCTGCAGAGGCTGGCGAAATGCAGCACTGAAGGAGCAGACTCGCACAAGGGTGGATGAAGCCTAGAAGGAGTGTAGAGACTTAGAGGGAGGAAAATGGGAGCCAAACTCCCAGTCAAGCTGATGGAGGGCATGAGATAATGTGCTCTGAAGAATAGCTGATGGAGGAAATGGTGGAAAAAATCTGAGGGAGGTTTGAAACTGAATTTGAGGACACAAAGAAAGGTAGTAAGATGTAGTAAGTGTCTCCAAGGAGACACTGCCTCTGCTAAGAAATGGTGAGGTGAATACTTCAAGTGACATTTAAAGTGTATCCCACTAAGTCCCTTAAAAGACATTAGCCATGTGCCATAAGGGACACTTCTCTTGCAGGTAAATTCATGCACCTCATTTGAAAGGAATTCAAACTATTAACTTGGATGCCTAAATTGAGGCATGTGAATTGCAGCCAAAAAGGACTATTCACTTTCAACTTTACCCACACTTTCAATTCATAAGGTGAACAGTTACTCATATGTAGTAATAATGCTGATTCTTTCTTCTTTTGACTGGTATAAGCAAGTACATTCAATGATTCTTTCATTGTCACCACTTATACCATGCATAACAACAAAGAAAATAATCAAAATTAGATATGCTAATTTAATTTTAAATTTTAAATCTATTTCTTAACTGACAGTACTGCAGTTCTTAGTTGGAAAGGTGCACTTGCACTTTTCTCCTTAATATGTGTGATAGTAACTTGAAAAATGAGATTCATTTGCTTTCTCTGTTCTTACATTTGGGAATATAAAATGCAACAGGGAACAATATTCCTTGTTGTATAACATATGCACCCTTTCCTCTTTCTCATGGTAACATTTTGAATATTTCTGCTTCAAAAATTAGATCCCTGTCTTAGAGCCAACAGCAAGCTCCTCTCTCCCTTTTTCTTTTAAAAAAGTTGGCTACCTATTGAAACCAAGTTTTCATAAATCACATACAGTATTTTCAGTAGTGCAGGAGTGCTAGCTTACACAAAATATCTGCTGTTCTGTCTGCTTAATATCTTGTCTGATGTCATCCCCAGTATCTCTTACTTAATAGGGCCACAGTATGGCCCTAATTATTTTTATTCAGTGAGGAGGAAGAATAATGAGCTATGAACACAAATTGACATCTTCTATTTTACAAAATGCTCAGTATCACATTTTACAAAGAAGAAAATGGGAGTTCACCTGAATTTGTATCTACTGACATCTAGATCAGAAAGCCAGACATATAAAATCCCTTGATTTTTTAAACATCTACAGTCCAAATCATTAAACTTACATCTTGGATCATGAAATTTACATTTTGCAAAGTTGTAATGCAAATTTCCACCATGGTAACTGTTCACTGTATGCTCTGGGTAACTGCGCTGAACATGCCATAATAATTCATCAACCCTGAAAGAAATCACAAAGTACATTAAAAATATTACAGAAAAAATGGAATTATGCCTCTGCTCACAACACATCATCTTCTCTGAGGTTAGTGTTACTGTCTGCATAACAATACACTTTCCTCACAAGAAGAAAGCAAGCCACAATCAATAAAATACATGTAGTAACTTGCTTATACACCCGGTATTCCTTCAAAAGGAGTGATTTTGTTTAGGTTTTTTTCTACTATAAAATGACTAATTATGTGTTTACTGCATTCATTATGGATATAGTGTTGAGAAGTATGATTATTAATGATATTTTTCTCAGCTTAAAGTCCACAGACTTTCTTTCTTATTAAAATGGACTTAAACTGAATTGAGAGTTACATAATAATATTTGTTTACATGTGTTCTTTCCTTCTTGTGGCTTTTTTTCCTTTTAGGTGAAAAAGGTATGTGGTCCTCCTGTAAGGAAGCCTACACAGTCTCAAGGTTGCTCCTTTGATCAGAACAAAGACAATCAAAGGTTAAAGAAGTTCTCAAGAGACAGTGAAGAAACCCTCGCCAATAGAAGAAAGTAAGACATTAGTTTTACAGCCAGAAAGAAAGAATAAAGTAAGCTGTTAATTTTACAACAGCATAGATTATATTCAATGCAATGGCATGCATTACTAGAGAATAAATAAAGACTGCAAAGAATGAAGCATTTCATCAACACAATCTGTTACATTTTGGAAAGAGTAATTTCATGACTAGGTTTTGTTTTCTGAAATAATGACCAGAGTCATTTGGTGTGGTTTAAAGTATTTAAAAGATTGGATAACATTGGTAGAATATGAACATTAACTCTATCTCTATATGTAAATTTCCAAATTATATTTAACTTGCACATCAGCAGACATTATTAAATTTGTTAAAAAATGATTGTGACTTTTATCGGAAGACTATTTGTACAAATTGATCAGACAGAAAAAAATGAATGACTGTTCTTACACACCTTTCTACTCTAAAAAATGAGACAGCTAAGGATTTGGGACTATATCTTGAAACCCTTGTTGAAGCAAGTCCAGCAGATTTTTTTTCTCTGGCTCTTTTGCCAGTATGTAGTGAATCGAGGTGACTGCAAAGACTTGAACATTTCATTTACACCTGGCTCAACATTACAGGGTAAAGTTTGCCTAACTGTATATGAGCTAGGTATTCAAGCTACCGTTATAGTCTGTGGAGAGGAGGACTCAATTCAGCTGCCCACACAACTACAAGCATCCAGAGCCACTTGAGGATACCCTCAGGTATCCCAGCTGATCTGCTGCTGCCAAGAAGGATGCAGGTATCCCACAGTTTATATCCTATATTCCAACCTTCTGCAGATATCCTGGATAAGCTGAGGGCATCCCAAAGGCCAATCTATCTTTAGAAAAATTAATGAAGTCTAATGACTGTAAGGAGTAATAGCACTGTGAGGAGTAAGGATGGTATTACAGTTGAGACTAAAGGCTCTATTATGCAAATAAAGTACAACATTAAAATCAGAAATGTCATTTCTATCACAGTGCTTGCTAAAATACAGAGAGGTTTTCATGTCTTCTTTTTGCTTTCATTTCACTTTGCAGTGCAGAAGGAAACTGAAGTGAGAGAATTGCAGGGAATAATTGCTCACTCCTGATGTCTGGAGAAGAAAAAGTGCCTCTGAGCTTCAAAGGCAGACCATTCTTGTTAGTGCAAGGTCCTTCATGCTCCAAATAGAAAAAACCCAAACACACACAGGACTTAGAGAACATTGTGGGAATGGAAAATGATGCAAAACAGAAGTTTGCTCCAGCCAGCACAGAAGTTCATCAGGCACTACCCATTATACAGGCATATTTTCTCTGTGTTATGTAGCTAAGCAAGTTCTTGATATTTTCTTATTGCTATCAGTCTGAAAATATGAAACTGTATTCTAAAATCACACTTAGTTCAGGACTGTTCCATGTTTCAAAGTAAGTGAAAGTCTGGATTGACCTCAGAGAGATTGCCCAAAAGACCATTAAGGGGAATGAGAGGCAGTGGGCAGCACAAAGCAATGCTGTCTTCCCATGACTTCTGCCTGCCTGAGGTGCTGGAAACACTTTATGGCATGCAACAGGCACCAAAAAGGGGGAGAGGGGAGAAAGTTTGAGATCCAGTGACACAGGTTTCAGTTTAACAACTTCATAGTTGTCATCTTCATTTGCTGCCTCCTGGATCACCTCCTTCCTTATTAGTCACAATGGCTTTATATTTCACTTTATATTCCCATGGCAACCGTAACAATTCCTCACATGGAAGAGCGGCTTCAGCAAATGCTTGCAGCCTGCTTTTAAGGAAGCGCCGTTCTGAGTCTAACTCCACTTTATTTACCTCCCATGTACTTCTGGCAGCAAGTTTCTTTCAGCAACTTTCACAGGCTTTAGGAGAAAAGGATAGATTTCTCCCAAACTGTGTAGACTTGATCAATGACAATTGTCCGAGGGAAAAGAAATGAACAAAAAGATTCCATTAAATGTGTGACTCCTAAGAGTTCGCCGATTTCCTAATATTTTCCAAATGTATCTCCAGATGACAGTTTACAATTTAAAGTACATGATGGACTGCCTCTGCCTGAACTTTTCCTAAATTATTTTCACTATCAGACCTAAGCTGGTATTTTCTATGTATTGTGTGGTACAAGAAGGAAAGGAAAAAAATATCAGAGGAATTTAAAATAATTCTAAGCAGAACCGTCTATAGTAACATACAAACTTCAATGTATATAAAGCGTTTTCCTCCAGAACTTAACACTGCAGACAGCTTTTAGTATGGAGAATAAAACTATAAGAAAAATTAACATTTCCAAACAAACAGATAAGAAGTATCTGCAGCTTCCACTGACTATAATTGCACATTTGTGCTCAGCTGCCTATAATTAACATGCTATCTGGTCTAGAATATGATGATGTGAAAATTGACATTCATACCGTCTGCCCTTCTAACTACTTTGGTCAGACGTCAACAGAGGCAGGAATCAGTTATTACTTCTGTATTAACTTTAGCTTTGCCTCAGGATGTATTTACTAATAAACTGAATGGTCTTTCTGTTAGAATGCAATTTGTCACAAGATATTGCGACAGCTATATTTATTTCATTTTCTGTGTTATACAAGGATTGATTGTGCAGAAGAAGAAATTCCAACTATGCACTATGAGATGATTCTCGAAACACTGGTTTTCATCCAGAATATAAACCCAAAGTACAGACAAAATCAATCCCACTCAATGTGAAATGGAGGAAAATTGCAAACATACTGTGCAGGCTGGATGCAGATTTGGGGATGGAGAAATACAAGATATGACTATTCATGTCTGGGAAAGTGTGGATGAATCATATTTACATATTTAAAATATATTGTGCATAGGCAATTATATGACGCATAATCAAAATTGACTCTACCTGAAGTTTTTGGAACTTCAGTTCTAGACATGTTAGGGCACTCATATCACATTTAATAGGCATAGTAAATCTAAATCACTGTGCTTTGTGTAAAATATTTGCCCTACAATTACAAGAAAGAACATGTGGCTTTATAAATGATGGACTGTATATAATCACTCAGTTTTTGTCTATTTTAATCAGGAGTAAACAATACGTAACAATTTAATTCCTTATGCCATTTTAGGCCTATGTTGACTAAATATAGGAAAATGTGTAGAATATTTCTGGCATTTTTTCACAAGTCCAGATACCATACAAGAAGTTAACATAAAGTGAAGCTGGTTGGCTTACAGAGCAATAAGTACAGTGTTTGCCGGTGCCTTTCTTTGTGCCTGTGGGTCATAGATAACTCAGTATAATGTGATGTTCTAAACCAGAATGAATAAATATTTTAATTTTTCATAGCAGGAATAGGTCTCCCAGGAAGAGATTTTCAATACATAAGAAAACAATTTATAAATGTAAATATGACAATCCAGTTAAAAACATACTAACTAAAAAGTCATTCATTTGTTTTAAGTACAAAAACGCATCATTAGCTCTGGGCATCTTGACAATTATTTAAAATAGCAATACATATTTTATAAACTACCAGCACAGCACATGATAAAACTGATGTAATTTTTCAGACAGTTATTTAAATATCCACTAAATATTTAACACCTACATCTTAAACCCATCTTACCTAAATCTTGAGTTGCTCCATAACTCTAACAAATACTCTTTGTAGTATTTGTAGCGCTGTGTAGGGGACTAGTTGATAGCACTTTTGAAAAACAGATGACTTAATTCATATATACCCATTTTATTATTTAGTATGCTTTTTTTTTTTTTTTACATTTTTTGGTGTATTTGTACAAGTGTAACGTTGCAAACTGTATCACAACTATGCAAAAAAATTTCAGGTTGGAGAATAATAATTCCTGTTCCAGAGCATGAGTATTTTTTTTCACTTTGACCAATGAGAGTATCAGCTTTGTAAACTACTGAAGTGTATCGGAGAGGATCAAAATTATCTAACAGGAAGCTGACAAATTGGTTTAAAAAATCATTGGAACCAACTGAGAGTAATAAAATAAGCACATTCTTTATCTTCTTGTAGAAATGCACAACAGCAGTACGGCTTAATGTTATTGATTGACACTGTCAATTATTTCCCTTGTTCCCCTGTGCAGAGAATTTATCAGCCACCTCCGGCTCTACAGAGCCTTTTACGGCGGCCTGGCTGATCATCTGTGCGGGAATGAGTTGGCAGCTGCCGATGGACTCCCGTGTTGGAACGGAGAAGATGTTGTAAGAAGGTACCTTTCTGAGTCACTTTTGTCTTGTCTTTTATATTTCCTGTTTCTCTAAAGTTGCTTCCAACACGAGTGAAGTACATTGTTTCCCCGGGTATGTGTCAAGGTTAGTTCAAAAAACAAATCAATGTGGGTTTCCTTCTCTCAGGCTTCACCTGCAAACAGTAAAAAAAATTTCCCTGCATTGCTATTTTGAGGAAAAGAAGAATTCTACTGTTCTTCAGACATTTTTCCTTCAAATTTATGACACCTAAACATATACCGGAACAGAAGCTGGATTGGCATTTACAAAATACTTTTGGGGAAAGAGAATATGGATTTTTCTTTGAGCTTGTTCTTTATAAAATGGTCCTTTTAATACAGAGTGTGTGATAACAGACTCAAGCTATTTGCTTAAAACTTTCTCTGGTTCTGAAGAATGAAGTAATCTCTTAATATATATGGTTCCTCAGGAGAGAGCTGAAAGTTAAAGCACAAGGATAAAACATTTTAAAGGTGAAACACATGTATTGTTTTATGTATGCAGCAGCTTGGGAGGCATCATTCAGGAGCGATGGCAAAGAAGAGATAATAAAAAACTGCTAGGCTCCTGGATGTGTATCTCTGGAATCAATATATTTCACAGCTTACAAAACGCTAGCATTTTGGATGTCAGAAGGATTTTCAGAGAGCTGATCTCTATGTTTTTGCTTTATTGCTCTCATCAACAAAACAAGTATTTCTCTGAGCATGAAGTTTTTGTAATGACAGAGACCAAAATATTGAAAGGTTCATTACATTTTTTTTTAATAAAGGTCATGCTGTTAATACAGCATTTATTAGTAGGTAGTATCAAAGGTCATATCAAAGAAGGTGGCTAAAGGCTGTGAGGTGAATTGATGAAGTGGGAGATAGTTGGTACCAAGTAGAAGGAACAGCGGCAGCCTGCACCTTCAGGTATCTCTAAAAAGGTTAGGTAAGAGCTGTAATTAATTGATTAACAATACCTAAGGGAACTTAATGAATACCCTTTCAGCAAACAGCTACAGGCCTACTTTTCTTTTATCTTCTTGTGTAGTCCAATGCTTTGGCAGCACCAAGGCCCAATGAGTGGTTGACTCCCTTGATCGGCTCATTGGGAAAGGTTTGTCCTAAGTTTTCAATAGGTCCTTTGTCCTAAGGTTTCAACAGTCTTCTCAAGATGACATGGTCCTTCTTTAGATATCTATATTTGAGATTTAATCTCACCTTTACATCTGGCTTTTGTTTTGCTGCCCTTCCCCAAATGAGTTGTATTACTCCTACCTAACATTTCAGTAACAATTTGAAGTAAGCCTCTTGTAATTACAGGTTTCCTAAGAACAAGGTTCTTGTATCATTACTTTTGGCTGCTTACAGTTTTACTATTAATAATATATACTTTCAAACCTATATTATTATATTACATGGTACTACTATATTTTAGTTTATATTTTGTCTGCAGAGTTGTTTCTCTCACATATTCTCACTCCTCTCTCTGGCTGTAATTGCTTATTTTTAATAATTCCCTTATTGTAATAAAGGAGAAAAAATTTGCTTTTTTTTCTCCCTTAAATACGTTACCCCAGAGGCACTGCCACCGTTGCTGATGGGCTCGGCCTTGGCCAGCAGCACGTTCATCTTGGACCCGGCTGGCACTGGTCCTATCAGACACAGGGGAAGCTTCTAGCAGCTTCTCACAGAGCCACAACTGCAGCCTCCCATTACCAAAACCTTGCCACGCAAACCAGTACACCTTTGTTCAATTTTATTTGTTTATATTTGGTTTTTTATAACTGAAGGGGGAAAAACATCTTCCCTGTTCTTTGACTGAGATTAAGGTTCTTTTACTATTATTATTATTACAGAACTGTTAGTCTAGGAAAAAATGGGCACTCTCTTCTTTTTGTGCTTAGGCACGTCTGCGTGCCTGCTATGAAAGTAAGGCACGTGTGACACGTGGGAAAGGAGGACACACATTGGGTGTGCAGTGCCTGGAGATTTCTCTTGATGATGGAAAGTCAAACTCAGCCTCAGAAACAAATCCAAACAAACAAATTCTGCAAATTCAGAAACAAGGATGTTGTGTTTGAGCAAGAAAGGTCCCTGAGCTGCCCCACAGATTGTGCTGGGAAATGACATTTGAAATGGATCGATGAATCAACTAGCGAAGAGATCTAATGGGAGGTGGGCAGCATCAGAAGTGATTGTGTTTAGGGATATCGTGAAGGGGAATGAAGATGTCAGACTTTGGGAATGTGGACTGGAGGCAGTGAGCCTAACCACTGTGCAGACAAACCAGATTAGGAGGGACTAGTAGCATGCAAAAACCAGGGTAAGCACTTCAAAATTTTCTTGATGAAACTCAGCCTGAGCCCAATTTTAGCATTTTCAGGAAAACTGTGGCATACTCATAGACTATCCCAGAAGTATTATGAGATCAAGCAAGAATCTAAAAAACTCCACTTACAAAAAAGGAGTCAAAGAATTAGATCTGTTTAACCTGGAAAAGAAGAACTGTTGGGAGAAAATGCAGAGCGCAAACAGGCGGTTGCTGGGGGGGAAGAGGTGTCAGTTATCTGCTTCCATAATGGCTAGGACACGTAACAAGTGTTTAAAATACATTATGATTGAATAGTAGGGAGAGTTTTCTGGTGGCAAGGACAATAAGGGACAAAAATAGGTAGTTTTGGGGACCAGTGTCTGCCTGAACGAGGATGTTTAAGAACAGGCAAGGCAAGGCATTGAGAAATGATGTAGCAAAAGCTGATTTTTCATAAGCAATATGGAGATAAATTGGATAACCTCTTAAAATCTCCTCCAGCCCTCTGATTCTGAATCTAGGATTATCTAAATCCTGTGTTGCTCAACTTCTGTTGCCATAATCCCAGGCTACTGGGACACTTTAGAATCAATAATGACCTGAACCGGCATCATCACTTTTCTCTGTAAATACTGAAGAACACCTGACCCTGTACACTCACGCTCTTTTCTTCTTTTTTTCTTCCCTCCCACCCCCACCCCGCCCCCTAATATAGTAATAAATAAAGATATTGGTGAATTCGTCTCTGCAGTGTTCCTAGAACAGATGGGGGAAAGTCTGTATTGTTCAACTTAGTTAAAGAGAAATAGATTTTATCTGTTTTGAGATTCTTCATCATTTCCACCTCTTTTTTGCCTTCTATTTGAAAATCATGTGCCATAGCTGGTGATCACTGCAATTTTGGGCCTGACGTGGGAAAGCAATGTCATAAGCTACATAATGCTGGTGTGAGTGTATCAGGACCTGAAGGTATTGCTAAAACTGTTTGCTGTATCTGTGTTTCAAGCTGCAAGTAGCAATAAGCCCTGGAGATAAAAGGTAGATATGTTTTAAAAAAAAAAAATCTTTGCAGTTCTTCTATCTACTTTTTAGTGCACTTTTCTAAAGGAAGTAGTTCAAGGTTTTAACAGCTATGATATCATATCTCAGATAAATCCTATAGCCCTTGCTACCTCTAATACCATCTAATGACATTATCAAGCCTGGGTGGGAAAAGGTCAGGAAAAGAAAAAGAGGGTATTATTGAAATGAAAGCTTACTTAACAGTTTACATTTCATATGCTTCAGCTTTTTCCTTTTTGGTTTAAGCCTGTTTTTTTTTCTTTAAATCGTAATGTCATGGCAATATGGCCCTTGATTCTGAAACTAGAAATGTTCTGAATCTAGCCTGTCACACAGCGGAGGCTCATGCTTTTATCAGAAATTGAGACCAGAATCCCCAAATTCCTGTATTCATGTCAGACAAGACTGGTAGTGGGCAGGACTTGCAGGAGCAAAGCTACCCTCACATGGCCCACATCGCTGCAGAATGAGGAAGAGGACGTCACAGAGGAGTCTTCAGCCCTTCCACTGTTTTACCCCAATGTGTGACTACAGTGGTCAGGCATGAAATTCAAACTTCAGTTTTAAAGGCATAACTGAGTGCCATGATGAAGTACCTGGAATTTAGTGTTATGGGATTAATTAGGTTCAATGGAAAAAGAGGAACGGCAATTAACAAGTTATGCACTACCAAAGCGTGTGAGACAAATTGCATGCATCAGTTTGGAATTTTAGTGGCATCTTAGCATTAAAGCTAAAATGACGGGAGTTGTGCAGATAGACTGAGATTGTTCTCATTCATGAAAATAAAGTGGTTTAACTGATATTTATACAGTTTTGGTAGTCTAGAGAGCCTGGCTAGAATGTGAATGTAAAAATCCACAGCGGGCAGCAGAATATGTACTGTACATCCTGAGACCAGTGATTCCACTGAAATAAAAATAGATGTGAAAGAAGAAAATAATAAAATTATATATGTTGAAGGATTCAAGAGTAATGGAGATTATTAAAAACAGCTAATGAGGTTGGTTTTTATGAGACACATATCTAAAGTATCCAAATTAAGAGGAATTAAACAGCGTGATTGATTTTAATTGCTGAGCGAGTGGTTAGAAAGTGATTATAATAAGCATCTATCATAAAATAAATGCTTAGTTTTAGCACAGGTCTTAGGCTGGGGTAAGGAATTTTCTCTTTTGATTCTTAAATACTCTGAAACAAGAGTACAATCCTAAGTCTGTTCTTAGCCAACAAAAGAAGATAAATGGTGATATAAGGAGATCTAATGAATTTCTTTTCTTCTATTTTTTCTCAATTTCTTCTCAATTTCTCTTCTCTTCTCAAATTTCTTCTATTTGAGCTGGTCATCCCTTTATAATGAGGCAGAATGTGAACTGCCATCAAAGGCACCACTTGCCACCTATGTAAAAGATTTGCCTGAGCAACTTGAAATGTAGGAACAGCCCATTATGGCCCTTGCTGCTTTGCCTAGTACGCTACTGCCAACAAGGACCAGTGACAGATGCATGGAGAAAAAACAACTGTAAATATGTGTTTCCTCACAATCTGCAAATTTGGAAATGCCTGACCCAGAACTGTGAATGTTCAGTCTTCCCATGAACTCATAAAATCTTAGCACCAGTAGCATTCCACAGCAAGCTAACCAGAAGATTTCCGATACCAAAACATTGAGTCAACTTAATGGGTAAATAGCGGATAAAGATATTTGTAGGCTGAATGTTTTCTAAAGAAAATGAAAGTTAAATAAATGGTTACATCCAAATTCCTGAAATCTGAAGTATTTTTGTTTTGAATTGCTGCTGCCCCTTTAGGGATGCTTGGAAGTGAAGTCACCAGCATATGGCACCTGGGCTGTAATGAAAAATCAGGTCATCTGGCTTCTAAGAACATGGGACTCCAAAGGTCCCCCCTGAATTCAGGAGGATTTTTTCATTACAATTTATACATTTTCATTTGGAAAACTGCTGACATCAAGATATGTTCAATGACTAATCAGCAACATCATTAATTTTACCACTGCCCCCCAATCACAAACAATTTTGTACCAATTCTACTTCACTTGTCAGAAGAATGAGGGGGGCTTATGATAAATTTTTCTGTGTCAATGCAGGAAAAAAAAGGCATTTCTATTTCTGGCATCAACATGTAATTGAATAATAAAAAACAATTATATTATTCTAGTTGCTGGTTTTCTGGAGGTAGCTTTTTGTTGTCCTCTCTTTTGAGAAACCTCAAACATTATTTTTAGGTTAGTTTAATGAATTTGGAAATTATAACCAAGAATATAATCTGAACTTTTTATTCCAGAGAAAGACAAAAATTAGATACTGGCTTGATGATAGATTATATAAAAACTAGTTAGTTTATATAGAAGCTGAAATTCAGGTCCCTGTGTCAGTTGGTTTTAGGAGATCCAAGTCTGACATTAAGGGAAAAAATGAAATGGCATATGAACCCTTTGTTCATATCAGTTGTGGGGTTTGTACTCTATTTTGTCATGAGATATAGAAATAAAATCATTCCTG